AGATACAGCTCCAGCTGCTAATTGGCCAGGCGCTTGCGTTTGTTGAGCGCGAGCCTTTCACACTCAAAAAGAAAACATCAACTGCGACGAGCACCTGTGAAGCAAAGGAAACAAAGTTCCAAATGCTAATTGGCCAGGCGCTAGCGTTTGTTGAGCGCGAGCCGTTCACACTCAAAAAGAAAACATCAACTGCACGAGCACCTGTGAAGCAAAGGAAACAAAGTTCCAAACGTTCAGCGGTGAAATGCACCCGGAAGTGAGTGATGAGCGCTAATTAGCTTTGCTACAAAGGCTAGGTGACTTGTTTGTCACTTCAATGAGATTTTTGTCCATCGTTTTTAATGAGAGATTTTATTCCGTAGCCCATAGGAGAAAATAAAAAATACATTTATTTAAAAAAAAAAGAAAAAAAAAAGAAAAGAAAAGCGCTTGGTGTATTTGAAAGACACAGTAGCAGTAAAAACGTGGTGAAATGCAAGGCTCGTATTGTACAAATTTAAAAACTATGTTGGACTCTTCAATTATGTTCTTTTTGTAAACATTAAAGGCAATTTAATCGTCAACAAAGCTAAGGTAGGGGCTTTTGTAGACGTAAACAGTTTAGTCTCCATTGAACCTAAAGCAAAAATGTGAAAACTAAAATCCCTAGCCACTTCTGTCTTTATTTGACGTTATCAATCTAACGTGCTCCCTTATGGAAACACCAAAGACACACGTCACATGTGTCTTTATTAACTGCGATTTTAGTCTCCGGTCGCCTTTCTGGTTTTGTCGATGTCGCTGCTAATGAGCGGGGCCTCAGAGAGAGTCATAAACCACCTAATTTCTCTTGTGTTTTCCACATTCGCCAGTAAAACATCTGCTGTTTGCTAACAATTATCCGCAGGAAGGCTTTTCACATCATCCATCACTCGGAGGGGTTTGTTGTTCTGCGTGCAAGATGAGGTTCCTCGCTGAAGACTATTTGTCGCCGGCAACTACACGTTCAAGGATGAAGAGCGGTTTGATTTGAGGCAAACCACGCCAAGCTCTTAAATGTCGTGAACTCGTTTGCCAGCGATGAAGGCAATCGTCGAGTTGATATTTACTGCATGTTCGAGCAGATGGCACATATTGTAATTGAGACACGCGTGCCAAGTGAGTCGATTTCACCGGCACTTTGTATAAAAACGAGAGAATGCAATTTGGGTAGAAATTGCTTGTGAATGCTGGAGAGCTCACGCTTATCTGAAATGCTACCAAATGAATTCAGGGATTGAAATGTAGAATGTGAGACTTGAATGTGGAATAAACCAGTCAAGAAATGTAACCTGATAACATGGTAAGCTGTCCACTGTCATGACCGCTGTCCCTGAAAGGGTTAACTTGAGAAATGTGGAAGTGAATACATTTGGAAATATCCATCCATCCATCCACTTTCTGAACCGCTTTATCCTCACAAAGGAAAATGAAACTTCACTGCAAGCCTCCAAGAGGAGAACATTGCGGCGAGGCTTTTCCGATAAAATTTACCGTCCTCGTGGCGTTTTGCCTCACGCTAGCGCGATTATGCGAACTATTATGTTTGCAGATGAGCTTTTTAGAAAACTTACGAACCCCCCCCCAAAAAAAAACGCCACATGTTGGAAAAAGGGCGTGGGTTCGTCATCATTGCGGCGTCAACTCACGACATTGATGGATGGCGGCTGTCAGATGCTCGCTCGGCTCTTCCTCGCTCCTCATCCTCACTGCTCACAAAGAATCAATCGACTTCACTTTGCTAAGCCGTGTCCCAACAACAGCGACGAGGCAGGAATCCCACAGAGGTCAAACCCTCGTGTCTCTGATGAACAAAACGTGAAAAATTTGACTGTTTACCAGGAAGAACTTTGTCTCGGGTCCAAATGAACACATTTTCAAGTGTTTAATTAACCTCACGTTTGTATTTCTGAAAGTGTCAAAGACAAGTTGAAGAACCAAATACACGGAAAAATCAAAGACAATTCAGTCCTCAACGAACCTAACAGGCATGTTTCCATAAACGTCAGGGCTCAAGGTTTTAAAACACTGTAAAAATCAATGACAAGAAACATCAATGGCAATTTCGTTTTCGCTGGACCTAATGTACGTGCTTACCTCAACTTCAACGATGTGCGGTTTTAAGACATTTGTAAATAAATAAATGACAAGTTTGAAGAACCCCCCACCGCGCCGTGGACATGCACAAATAAAATGAAACAAACTCTGTGTTGGAGTGGACATAAAAGTCAAACACTGTTATGCGGATGGAGACAAAAGATGTCCGCCTCACATTACGCAGATTTATTATGACTAGTAAGACGTGTTAACGACTGACTGACACATCGTCATCATAGCTGACACTCGGCTGGTTTTATGAGCCCACGCCGGAGCTTTAATGTAGTGGATGTGCGGGCCTGTGGGCGCATACACGATGAGGTACGACGGCCAACATCTCATCAGTTAGCGTGTATTCTGTGCCAGCTCCATTATTGAAAACCTACTTTAGTAATTGTATTATTTAATTTATATTTGCCACCTCAAAGGAGGGAAATGACACACTGTTCCCTGTTCATACTGAACTAATGGTAACCTTTGACAGGCGCGCACGCCGCCATGTTTTATGCATCCGGCGTGGCAATATAAAATATAAATCATCGGCGGGGGCGTGCTTCATTTTTAAAGAGGAAAGATGATCAGCTCCGCCTTTAAGCAGCCTGCGTTATTTATTTTTTATTTCGCAAAATCAATTCGTCGATTTATCTTTCGCACGAGGGGCTTGGAATTTAATCGGAAGGTCCAGTGTGGGTAGAATGTAGAAAAGTGCACGTCGCTTATGAAAAGGGAACATACATTATTTCTAATCCCACTAGAGGGCGACCAAACAGCTGAATGAAAGGCACAGACGTACAGTAGTTTGAGGCGTGTCAGAAAAGATGGGGGACTGGTGTAACAAAAGATATACAATACAGTGAACCAAACTATTTGCGGACCCGATCGTGATTTGCAAAAATTCCGCAAATAATTGATGCTCATTCTATTAGCATTAAGAAAAAACTACGAAGTGCATCATCTTCTCTCACGATCATGAACACTTACTCTGCCTGTACCAGACATATGCCTACTCTGTTTGATTATGAGGTGCCTAAACCTGTCCGACTTCCAACGTGTTGTCATTTTCCTCCGTCATAATCGACGCGGAAAGCCAAGATTAAGCACCTAATCTTTCACCTCTACTCAAAAGCAGTGCTGATCTCAAGTACAAAGTAATGCAATGCTGCCATCTCCAGGGATCTGTTAGTCATTGCAGTGGTTTACCAACCTGAGATTTACAATGACTGAAAATGACATTTGACACAGGTGCAAGACTAATTAAAAAACAACAACAACAACAACAACAAAAAACGTTTGGTTATGGTCGAAGTAGGAAGGGAAGGTGTTGGCGTCATTACAATGGTTTACCAACCTGAGATTTACAATGACTGGAAATGACATTTGACACAGCGTGCAAGACTAGTTAAAAACAACAACAACAACAACAACAACAAAAATCATTTGGTTATGGTCGAAGTAGGAAGGGAAGGTGTTGGGCAAAGAAATGAGACTACTAATAATAAATTGATGCACTGGAGCACTTATCTATATTTATACAAACAAATTGTTTGCCCAATTATTTAGGACAAAAATGATTTCAAATCAGAGTTTCAAGTCTGTTTGTGATTCAGACAAGTAGTTATAGTTTCAAAGTAGGGTTTGCAGCAAAGGGTAGGTTTTGAAAAGAATATTTCAAGCCAGGCTGTCTAAAACCATTGCAAGGAAAGGAACAAAGAAAAGGAAAAAATATATATAAATCGAGATATCTCCATTTCCCGGAACGTTTTCATAGTCAAGCGCATACGTCCGCAAATAGGATGAATTTAAATAATAATGTGAGTTGAAATGTCACTTCTATTAACACGTCTCGCTCACCGTGACATTTCGCAACAAGCTCACCCGCGCAAAACAACAAGGTGAGCGCACAACACGCCGCATGACTCGATCAGTAAATAAATCAGCAGCCCTATGAATATGCAGATGAAGGTTGTGCTGACTATTATTTATTTATTATTATTATTTTTTTTTTTTTGCTGTGTGTCTCGCTCAACCGTATGGATGTGTGCGTACAAGCTAACCTTGACGATAAAGCATCAACACGCTGCTGTCTCGTCTCTAATAGGCAACAATGAGAACATCTTCATTACGCCGCCCTCAGAGACGCTGATAACGCAGAATTACACACACGTGCACACATACACACAGCGATAAAGGGTTGAATGTTACAACAAGGTGAAATGTTACACCTCTTTGTGGTCTTTTTCACAAATTAACACTTTAATCAGCGAGGTGAGCCAAACCTGTGCACCTCATTTCCCACACACACACACACACACACACACACACACACACGCACGCACACACACACACACACACACACACACACACGCGATACCTGACCATGCAACTCAGTGTGGGCATTTGGATAAACGCCATGTTCAAATTAAGGGTTGAAAAGTAGGGTTTCAAGCCTAGGTAAGGCTTTTTTGATTGAACAAGTGTTGGGCGTTTATGATCCAGGGTTTTAAATAAGTACAGAGATCCCATTTGAATCATCTTCCCCCATTGGAATGAATGCAAATGCCATCAATCCGTTCTAGCCGTCCCAAAAGACACCATAATAAATGTTCTGTAATCTAGTGGTACACAAAAGAATAACTGCTCAAATTGTGCATATTGTTGATGATTCAAACTTGTTCTTTTTTTTTTCCCATCCCATACGGTACAATTGCACAGTTCAGTTATATGTAACTTAAGTCAACTACAGTTTCATTTAATGCTTCAGATCATTTGAAATATTTATTTTTTTCAACTTAGATTTTAAAGTTATCATTAGCCCATGTAAGGTGTTTTACATTGTGTGTTAGCATTAAGATAGCAGAAGGCAAACTTAATTTTTTTTTTTTTTTTTTTAAATGCACAACACTTGACTCCCTTTGTTTTAGGTTTAAATTGACCTACTTGACGAATATATTCTCTGCTGGCATTGAACTGTTGGGACTCCAGTTGACAAATAAAGTAAACGTGCGCGGTAGTAAATGAGTTAAGAATGTCAAAAAATGACTTGAAACATTGCCCTGTAACCAGATACAAAAACAGATTTCTAATCTACACAACAAGCATATCTTCGCACACGGGGTCATTAAGATTATACATTCACTAACCAAATAAACAATAATAGTAAAACCGTCATAAAACGTGTCTAAGGTCACCAGAAGCTGAAATGCATTTAACCGTGGTGGAAAACCCCCTAAAACATTTCAATGTTCTGAGTGGGATAAACGTCTATTAGTCTGTCCTTTCATTAGTTGGCCTCATGACCGATTTTTTTTTTTTTTTTTAATTATTGCGGTTGTCATCATTGATGACTGCTGCCAGGCAGATGCAGCTTACGCTCAATAAACACATAAACATACCGGTAGTCAACCATTAATGGAGCGAGTGCTTTGCATATGCACAATGAGTCCTCATGTTGACTGGCGACATATCGCCTGATGCACTTTTCGCAGCGTTAAACCGGCAGTTAGCGCCGCTTGAATTATGGGCAGACAAAAGGACGCTCTGCGGAAACTGGACGGGACCTTCCGGACCAGACACCGACTCCTTCGCCAAGGCCTGGCCGAATGCCTCGGGACGCTAATCCTGGTGGTGAGTGGCAACCAACGCGGCATGGCGAGAGGTCGCGTTAATTGGACGAGAACATGAACTGGGGATGAAATTTTAATTCAAAGGTTGCCATCTACTGCGTGGAGGGTTAATGGGCAAGTACATGCTTTGGATTATTCAGCAACAAATTGGGGCTTCAAGCCAGGGATGATAATATTTAAAACGAAGGTTTTAAGTCCACACAAACATAAGACGATGAAAAGGTGAAATACTGCAGCTAACGCCGTGGCTACCAACCATAAATTAAACTAATAAGCACAGTCTGAGGTATGTGCTTTTACATTTATAACATGATGAAGCATCTAAAATTGAATACATCAAAATATCATTGTGATTTTTTTCTCCCTAAAAGAAAAAGTCCGAAAGGTGTTTTCCCTTCTCCATGCAGACCTTTTCTTGTGGCGGGGTGGCACAGTGGATACTGAGTGCCGGTTCCCACGGGACATTCCTCTCTGTCAACTTTGCGGTAGGAGGCGGCGTTGCGCTGGGCGTCCTGGTCAGCGGCCCTATCTCGGGTGAGAGCTCCCAAGCTCGCTTTTGAAACTCTAAAGTGTTGACAAATGGGGGGGCGGAGCCGTGAGCAGTTGGATTAGCGGTTTATAGTTATCTTAGAAGTCAGCGGTGAGCAAAAGGGGTCAAGGTTTGTGGTTTAGGTGAGTAGGATCGGTCATAAGACAAACAAAGTCATATGAACAGGGCATATTGGGGTCACATGACTTGGGCAAAGTTCTGGTCTTCGCTTCCTGGTGGGGTTACCTGCCGCGTTACCATGGCTACTTGTGGTGCAGCAGCTGTTGAAGCAGCGGGCCATCAAGAAACGAGGCAGACATTACATTAGCATCGTCGTCTCACGGTCGCCGTCACTCACTTTCCCGAGGCTTCGCCTCCCCTCCCCCCCGCCGTGTGGCTGCAGTGAGTCATTATCATCGACGACGTGACAGAGCACAAAATACCAGCAAAGGGTAAACTGGCAGTTATGTGAAGTGCAGTATTTACCTCCTTGATGGAGGAAGGAACGGGGAGTTTGAAAGAGGTGTCACTTATCACTTACACGGTGAAAACGATGCAGCAGGTAATTGAAAGGAACACGGTGGTTCGAGCGGTCCTTTCGTCAAACACCACAAAAGTTTCATTAGCACGCCGACATCCGCTAACGACTTGTTTTCCCTGCTAGCAGCCTCGCAATTAACACGGCGGAATGTCTCTACCGTCCAATATAGAACGTGTGAGTCAAGGAGCGAGCGTGCCAAAGCAACTCAATAACAGTGGTGAGAAGTTGCTGTACTTAAAAGGGAAACTTAAAGCAAACACTGTCTTTGCAATAATATGTTTGATGTGCCCCCAGTAGTCAAAACACAGTATTCTGAATAACACTGCATTTGTGGAATAAGAATAGCATAATCCATTGTTAAGATTCATCTCAGGGTGTCACCATTTTGTCTCGTACTGCTCTCTGCTGTCCACTGAAATTGATGTCAAAAGGCCCTCGGGCTCGCATTGCAAAAATCGCAGCTGACCTCTTTCTGGTTTTGGTCACTTGTGCTTCAAGGCAACACTGTACATAATAAGTTGAATCAGTACTTATACTTGAACAGAACAATGTTTTTCTTCTTCACACTCCTAGGTGGCCATCTGAACCCTGCTGTGACCTTTGCATTATGTTTGCTTGGCCGGGAGCCCTGGAGGAAGTTGCCGTGGTTCTTCTTTTTCCAGACATTGGGCGCGTTCCTGGCTGCTGGCATCATATATTGTCTTTACTTGGGTAAGATTTTGATCAATGATGCTGTAATGGGAAAATATCAACAACCAAGTATTTGAATCCGCCAGATGCTATACGGGAATTTGGCCACGGGGAGTTGCTCGTGGTCGGAAAGAATGCCACCGCTGGGATTTTTGCCACATATCCTTCGAAACATCTCTCAGTGCTCAATGGATTTATGGACCAGGTGAGAAAGTCTGTCCAAGAATCCTTGAACCTCACACCCAAATGCTCACCCTGAGTATCAGAACGTTAACCCAACTAACACTAAGCGAAACGCGAAACCTCAACTAAACGCCCTAAACTAAACCCTGACCTCACTCAGACAAAGCCGACTAACTCAAATATCAAATTTAACCTTAACTATTGTAAATTGCTTGTGGTTTAGGTTATCGGAACAGCAGCACTGGTTATAGGTGTCCTCGCCATCATAGACCCTCACAATAATTCAGTCCTGCCTGGGCGGGAAGCTTTCCCTGTGGGCTTGGTGGTAACCGTCATCGGCCTGACCATGGGATTCAATGCTGGCTACGCCATCAACCCCGCCCGGGACCTTGGACCTCGCCTTTTCACTGCCGTAGCAGGATGGGGACTCGAGGTTTTCACGTGAGTTTTTTTGTTTTTAATTTTGGCATCCAGGAAAATTGCATTTTTGGGGTGAGGCATATCTAGTCGTAGCTAGCTGACAGGATACTGTAGGGGTACAATTGAGCCTGGGAACATCGAAGTAACTCGCAGTTGTGCCAGATACACACTGATGCGAAAAAAACCCCCACTCAAGTTCTTTTGTAATATTAGCCACCCCCGCAAAAATGAGGAAAACTGAAATGTTAAAAAAAAAAATGTTTTATGCTGTGGCTCCAAATTCAGTACATAGTTTTTAGTCTTTGCACATTTGTTGCAATGAACTTCAAAAAGGTAAAATGTATTTATAATCTTGGATTTCAACTTCCAGGGTCTTTAAATCATGTTGTTATGTAGTGGTGTGTCTATGTGTGCCTGCGTATCTGTATTTCATGTTTTAAATCATGTTATTTTTCGTTATTCAGGTATGTAATGCTCGCATAAAATGACACTTTGTTCTGTCTTGCAGAGTGAACGCCTATTGGTCTGTTGTGCCCATCACTGCCCCGTTTGTGGGTGCCATAGTGGCAGTGATGGTGTACCAGCTAATGGTCGGATGGCATCACAGCAAAGATGAGCCAGAGAGGAATCGAGAAGGGCGCGAGGGGGAACAACTCAAACTGGCCAGTGTTTCAGCCAATGAAGAAGACGCTTGAATTGTAGGTCCATGTAATGGTGTCAGAGATAACAACATTTTCTGTATGTTTTTGTTTTTTTTGTCTTCTTCAAATGCCACGTTTGACTGGTATGTCTACAGCTAACTGGTTTTGGCAAATTTAGGTTTTTTGGTTTTAGCAGTGTCTTGGTTTTTGATCAGTACAGGTAAATTTGTTTTGGTGTGTCATGGATCAAGTCCATTTAGACAAGAAGTACACACTGTAATCAACGGCAGCAATTTATTAGCCACAACGCTAATCCCTGTGGTGTCACATAAACAAGATAATGGCGATTAACCTGGCTACAGATGGGCCAATTTTGCTTTGTGCACGGGAGAAAACATATTTAGCAGGAACAAAGGTGATCCATTACTTCCACTGGGAAAATAGCCAGATGGTGGGGAAAACTGACTGATTCAAACATGACAACACAAGAAATCATGACTGGAAGTTCTGCTAGTGACATCTTATTACCCAACATGAGCAAAGGTTGCTTGTAACCTTATGTGCATCTGGTTTCAACTACAAAGTACTTAGCTTAGGCTATTCTAGTTTTAGACATCTCCTCCATCCACATTACAGTAAAAGGCAACACATTAGCAAGAAAGCCCTGCTTTCTCAGAGATCAACCCCACAAGGAGCCTTGCCCGTCTTGTGAACGTCTACTAACCGTTAGGCCAGTTGTGAATCCCGGTGGAAATACAATTTGCGAATCAGAGTGGGTTTACTGTACCATTTTTAACAGACTATTAGCTAAACACTCAGTCAGTAGCATGCAAATTGTGACATTTGCCACCTTACAAATCCTCTCCAAAATGTTCAGAGAACAGCAGGTGGCTGTTGGTAAGCGTGACGCTTGATCTTTTATTTGACAAAGCGCAGAGGGCAACGAAAGGTCTCAATTGTTTGCTTGGAAAAATGCTGGAATGACAAGAAAAGCCTCCTTCGGAGCAGCCAGTGACGAGAAGTGACATTTGTCAGTGTCTGGAGAAGAGGATCAGTCTGTCTGGGTGTTACAAAGGTTTAAACTTCACAGAGTGATGTTTGACATTTGGACTTCCTCTCTGGTGTGACCTTTTGCGGTCATATCGGTTGTCAATCGAAAGTGGTTTCTCACAAAAATTTGAATAAAAGCTGCAGTTTGATGTGTGTGTGTGTGTGTGTGTGTGTGTGTGTGTGTGTGTGTGTGTGTGTATGACCTGGATGATTTTAGAACACACACGAAAAGGGTGAAGGAAATGACATTTTCAAACTGTCACAAATCCTGCATTTTCTGCTTCACATAAAACATTTGAACAGCGCAACCAAGTGGTCAATCATTTAACTGCACGCATAGGTACTCTACTTTTATAGTAAATACTTTTATTACATATTCTGTTTCTCAGAAATGAAAAGTGGCATCTGTGTTCGCTTGCGGGTCAGTTCAAATAATTTCGGCGCAATAACCACATAAGGGAGTAGAACGGAATCTAATGCTGCAAAATCTTCTCATCGGAAACTAATTATAATCAGTTCATTCTTAAGAAAACCATGGCAAATGATAATGAAGACTGTACTTCCGTCTCATTGTGCTGTGCTTCCGAGCGTTAACAATGATGACATTAGTCAGCCCAAACTTCTTTTCATGAGCCAGAAAGTATGAGTGTCCTTGCTCCTCTATTAACTTAAGTTGACAACAGTGAATTGGTGTGAAAATATAACAGAAAATTTAGAACAATTGAGGTGCTCTAATTGAAAGCTTTTGAGTAACTATATCAAAAAATATAAGTTGGACGTAATCGAAACATTGAAGTTCAGAGAACTAGAACTTTTGAGTTGACCAACTCAATCAGAAAAAAACGATTCTTCAGAAGTGAAGAATCGTTTTTGTTATCTTTCAGAACTTGACTCCTTCAGAACATGACTCAAAATAAACATTACGTGTACAAAAACAATGCCCTTGCTGCCCACTACATTGTTGTACACAAAGTCGACCAAAAACGTTCACTGAATTTGGGTTAAATCAAATATTTCAATCACAATTCATGTCTAACTTACATTGTCAAAGCGGATTTCCTGGAATCAGTCCGCTCCAGAAGACGTTAGTCACTCACATCTAAGTGTTGATTGGTTTAATTCAAAATCCTGTCGTCCAATAGTCGAGCAACCTTTGCGCGGACTCTTCTCAAACCCACCAATCAAAGCTGTTTCATCCAAATAAAAACGCGCGGTCGCTGAAATGCGTCTATACATTATAGTTACAGGATGGCAAGGACGAAGCAGACCGCTCGAAAGTCCACCGGCGGCAAAGCCCCCAGGAAACAGCTGGCTACGAAGGCTGCCCGTAAAAGCGCTCCGGCCACTGGCGGTGTTAAAAAGCCTCATCGCTACAGGCCCGGTACCGTTGCCCTCCGCGAGATCCGTCGTTACCAGAAGTCCACCGAGCTGTTGATCCGCAAGCTGCCCTTCCAGCGGTTGGTCAGGGAAATTGCTCAGGACTTCAAGACAGATCTACGCTTTCAGAGCTCGGCTGTCATGGCGCTTCAAGAGTCCAGCGAGGCTTACCTTGTCGGTTTGTTCGAGGACACTAATCTGTGCGCCATCCACGCGAAAAGGGTCACCATCATGCCAAAAGACATCCAGCTGGCTCGTCGCATCCGTGGAGAGAGGGCTTAAGCTTTCATTTCGCACACACAAAGGCTCTTTTAAGAGCCACCATATTTTCAACTAAAGTGTTTATTTCTATTTCTTTACAAAGAAATGTCACAACTACCATATTCGCACATAAACCTCTGCTGGTACGTTATTATAATAAAGTTGAGAAATATGAAGCGGCATGTTATTCACACAACTACCACACATTTACTGAAACGGCAAAACAATCCCTCATTAAACGACGAATACTTCACTGACTCAAATTCTTAGTTGCTATATTTTGCTGCCTATTTGTAAATTACATCAATTATCTGAGAAGGTAATCTCCCCGCGAGTGTGGCGACCGTGCTGGAACCTATCCCAGCCGATTTAGGGGTAGGCGGGGTACACCCTGATCTGTTTGGCAGCCAATCGTGGGGCACACAGCCAAATAGCCATTCACACTCACAATCACGGCTAAGGACAATATAGAGTGGTCAGTTAACCTAGCGCACGTGGAAACGTGGGAAGAAATCGCAGTAACCCACAGGCAACAAACAGAACAAACTCGACGCAGCAAGGCCAGGACCCGGGATCGAGCGCATGACCTTTGTACTGTGAGGCAGACGCGCACCTAGTCGGTACCGTGCCACCTTTAAAACTCCATAACGTGTTCTCCTTTTCTTCTTGCTTGAATTCAAATGTTTAAAAATTCCTTTTTTATTTTCTCAAGTCCTGCTCTTGTATTTTTTTTGATCGTGTACACTTTGTTGGTTGCTTCTATTTTGGCCGTGTTGTGATTGTAGATTGGCTGTTCTTGAAGTTCGTGAGGTTGTGAGTCACAGCCCACCTCGAACCTTTACAGTAGGTTTCTACAAAGTAGAGCATGAGTGAGGCTTTTTCAGTGATCCATCGTTTACATTAACATATACATCTATATTTTTTTTATTGTGCAACTTTTTCTTTGAAGCCTTTTTTCATCAAAATGATCACCCTCAAAATTTGTCTAAAAGTAAGTCCAACAAACATTTTATGTCTATGGTACTTACTTATCTGTAGACGTAATCTCCGAAATAGCCCCAAAAATAGGAAGTTACAAAACAGTAGGGCGTTGCAGTTGTAGCTTTAAGCTGATTGGACAACCGTTTTCTCGCATCTTTTGGCCAATCACTGAACAGCTAGATCGTGTATAAATACAATGCTTCGCAGCGTTGTTAGTATGTCAAGTTCAAGTCGCTAACAAGCAGTGGAAAAACTTCAAAAATGTCCGGACGTGGTAAATCCAGCAAGGCTAGGGCGAAGGCAAGGACTCGTTCCTCCCGTGCCGGTCTTCAGTTCCCCGTTGGTCGTGTCCTCAGACTGCTACGCAGAGGTAACTATGCCCAGCGCATTGGTGCTGGTGCTCCTGTATACCTGGCAGCTGTACTCGAGTACCTGACTGCTGAGATCTTGGAGTTGGCCGGCAATGCTGCCCGCGATAACAAGAAGACCAGGATCATCCCCCGTCATCTTCAATTGGCGGTTCGCAACGACGAGGAACTCAACAAACTTCTTGGCGGAGTCACAATTGCTCAGGGTGGCGTGTTGCCCAACATCCAGGCTGTGCTGCTGCCCAAGAAGACTGAGAAGGTCAAGCCTAAGTAAACCTGCTTGAAAGTTCCTACATCCCACAAAAGGCTCTTTTAAGAGCCACCCACTTTACTCAAGAGTTCATCTTCCCTTAATACTAGAATCAATGGCCGCCCTCTCTTACACCTGCATTTAGATAGAGAGCAGTTATTCTCTGACAGATGGGGGTCAGAGACATGCTGCTCGTTTCCTGCTGCCTTCCAAATGAATTGAATATTTATGAGGGCATTTACACTGAATAAATTTAATAACTAATTGAGGACTTTTTTTGCAAGGCTCAGCTGTAGCATCAAGTTGTGCAATGTTGAAAATGGCTTTAAAACATTAAAAGAGACAAAGGTTTTCTTATCTTACTCACAATGGAGAAATTCGCAATTTACAGCAGCAGAAATTGGAGGGAAGAAAGTAGAAAAAAAAGTATTTGCATACACAAAAAAAAAAATTAAAAATTGAAAACATCAATTTATAATTTATGGGGGGTCGTGTCGTTTGAGCTGGGTGTAATGTTTTGTCAAATTGTCATTTGTGATAAAATGAACAATTTTGAAGTAACATGCACTGAGATTCCTTTATTGGAATGACAAGTCCAAGAAGAGACGTCCAGATAAAAATGGAGAGGGGGGACAGAAGGGAGTGTGGATGTTGATGTTAAGGCAGAAATTAAGGAAAATTCGCAGTATATTTAGTAAATCATCATATCATGTTATATTTAGGCGTCGCAGTATGTGTAATTAGTTAGAACTATTGTATGTGCTTAAATAGGAAAAACAAGTTTTGTGAAATTTGTGTATGAAACTGATCCATGCAAACTACATCTAGTATGTATAGAGTATTCAGACAACTGTAATAACACCACAGTGCGGAAAAACTCCTTCAAAGACAAATATGTGTACACAATACATGTTGATTTCGCCACTAACTCGAAAAATCCATGTTTATGTCAGATTTTATTTGAAAGACAACATTCTTACTTTTTGAGTTGTGCTGAGTGAAGCTCCTCCCCGCAAGATTGCATCAGCTGTTCTCTTTCAGGTCCGCAGTCTTGTAATAAGAGTACCCGCCCTCAGCAGCTACGCATCGATACACGTCGTATTCGACTCTTGTTGAGAACATGTCTGGAAGAGGCAAAGGAGGTAAAGGTCTCGGAAAAGGAGGCGCTAAGCGTCACCGTAAGGTTCTCCGCGACAACATCCAGGGCATCACCAAGCCTGCCATCCGTCGTCTGGCACGCCGCGGAGGAGTCAAGCGTATCTCCGGTCTCATCTACGAGGAGACCCGCGGCGTGCTCAAGGTCTTCTTGGAGAACGTCATCCGTGATGCTGTTACCTACACCGAGCACGCCAAGAGAAAAACCGTCACCGCTATGGATGTGGTGTATGCTCTCAAGAGACAAGGACGTACTCTGTACGGATTCGGCGGCTAAACTCATCCTTTGACCAGTCCACTAAACAATCAAAGGTCCTTTTAAGGACCACTCACTACCTCTAACAAGAATTTTCACCTTGCCTTTGCCTTGTTGTTTTTAGTTGAGTAATTACTCGATCACTTAGCCGGGAATCGATAATATTAACAAATTTGCTTGATTTGGAGTTATAGCAAAATCGGCCTGAGAAGAATAGAAATTGAAAGATAAGGATTGGATTTGTATAAATATCGGGCGAGGCAAATGCTTAAATTTCGATTTAGAACTGCGACCTTATGTTTGGACGAAAGTGTTTAACGATAATGGATTAAGGTAACGTTTTTTGTAGCTGAAGAAATGGATACAAACTTATCCATTAGTTTTAGTGATAGCACACATGCCTAAAACTTCAATCAGGTACATATTTCAGTTAAAGCACATTCTAGATTTAATAGGGGAAATTTTATAAGAAATTTTTACCAGTTTGTTTTGGGCATATCAGCACCTAACCCTGTCAGAAATGCCCATTGGAAATTAATATGGCCACGCCCCTCCCTCTGTATCTTGGTGGGCGGTACAGAAGACTTGTCTTGGCCTTCTCTCTTCGATGGCAGCATCATGTTCAATTCAGATTTTTCTAGTGAAAATGATAATTGTTTACTCACCAAAGAAGTTAGGCATGCTCTTGATTGAAGCGAGTACTGCCAGTGATGACTTTTGGAAACATCACTACGATAGTTAGATACCGCTTAAAACATTTGACTTGAGAGGAATAGACGCTCTTTGAGAAAGTTGTGTGGCTCTGAAAAGAGCCTTTGTGGGGGCGCAGAAAGTGACGAATAACTCTACTTAGGCTTGGCTTTCTCGGTCTTCTTGGGCAGCAGAACAGCCTGAATGTTAGGCAACACGCCACCCTGGGCTATGGTGACTCCGCCAAGGAGTTTGTTGAGCTCCTCGTCGTTACGGACCGCCAGCTGCAGATGACGAGGGATGATTCTCGTTTTCTTGTTGTCGCGGGCCGCGTTACCGGCCAGCTCCAAAATCTCGGCAGTCAGGTACTCTAGTACAGCCGCCAGGTAGACGGGAGCGCCGCCGCCGATCCGTCGGGCATAATTACCTTTCCTGAGAAGTCTGTGGACACGACCCACCGGAAACTGAAGACCAGCACGGGAAGAACGACTCTTGGACTTCGCCCTAGATTTGGCAGATTTACCACGCCCTGACATAGTTAGTTTTTAATAATTACAATTTAAGGATTTGAATTTGACAGTACCCACTCTTTCGCGAAGCAGCGTACTTATACACAACAAAGCTGCTCAATGATTGGTCAGGAGGTGCGGGGATGCGGTTATCCAATCAGCAAAAAGCTACAATTGCATCCGCCCTACTGTTTCCAAGGTTTCGTGTTCAGACAAGTTTGCCTTACATCAGGGGTGTCACAAAAACATTCGCGCCCACTTTGGAGTTACGTCTTGCCTCGGAGGACCGTTACGGCAGAGAAAGCACAAAAGTGTTAATGGATGACTAGTTTTCAAATTAGTCAACTATAATGTATGTAAAGGCGCAACTCATCTAAACTATCGATCACCGAGACAACATCACTCCTCTATCAACATTCTGTGGTGTAGTTTCGTGGGGCTGGAGGGCGCAACAGTGTCAAGAGTAATTATATGTAGATAGACAAACGTATATGAGAAGTGGCATTTGAAATTCAAAGCTAAAGCAAGCAGGGAATAAGCCATTGAGAACTAGTTAGCTTGATTGTTTTACACTGGAGTTAAGACATTTGTATTTCAATAAATCATTTTATATCTTATTTCTTTGAAGATAAAATCAATACCGGTTTGCTAAGTGACAAAACTAATAGGAATATAAACTTTCAGATGAAAATATTGTGGCTCTTAAAAGAGCCATTGTGGTTTTAGCACGGAAGCTTAAGCCCTCTCTCCACGGATGCGACGAGCCAGCTGGATGTCTTTGGGCATGATAGTAACCCGCTTGGCGTGAATGGCGCACAGATTGGTGTCTTCAAAGAGGCCGACAAGATAGGCCTCACTGGACTCCTGAAGCGCCATGACGGCCGAGCTCTGGAAGCGCAGGTCGGTTTTGAAGTCCTGAGCGATCTCCCTTACCAATCGCTGGAAGGGTAGCTTGCGAATTAGCAGCTCGGTAGACTTCTGGTAGCGGCGGATCTCACGAAGGGCCACGGTACCGGGTCTGTAACGATGAGGTTTCTTCACACCGCCGGTGGCCGGGGCACTCTTGCGGGCAGCTTTGGTAGCCAGCTGCTTCCTGGGAGCTTTTCCACCCGTGGATTTTCGAGCTGTTTGCTTAGTTCTTGCCATTGTGACACTAGGTTACGTTCGACGACTGAGTAGTCAAACCGAGCGAGTGCGCGTTTTTATCCGGACGCAGCAGCGCTAATTCGTGTGTTGGGGATGAGCGCGCGCTGAAGCTGCTCGACTATTGGACACAAGGATTTTGAATTAAACCAATCGCCACTTAGAACTGGCCAACGTTTTGTGAGCTGACTGATACCCGGAAATCTGTTACGAGGAAGTAAATTATCTGTAAATTTTAGTTTAATATTTTATTTCATTTAACTGGTAATGTTGAGGTGAAGCCCCAGTAGGCTTCGCAGTCGTACAGTTTCAACCACTCGGTTCGAGCAAAGGGGTAATTCCTTGACGTTTCATGTGCACACAAAACCATTTGCTGGCCATGTGTATAATTACCTGCAGCTGTCCACGGTTTGCAATGCACCGATATTCGCGTCAGTTTTGACTCTTGGGCATGACGATTTATAAAAAAAATACATATATATGACGAAATAATTTGTCGACATAAAGTGCATAGGCCTAATACGACATATTTATTCGGCGTTGAGTAAATGTTTCCGAACCTTTCACATAGTACAAGCCAACTATTTTCTAACGTATTTCGTATTTTCCCTTCCTAGTGAGTTACTGTGCTCACTTTTATTAGAACGCAAACACCTCACTATTGAATAAATAAACGGTTAAAACGTACATTATCAAAACAAACACTTAACGGCCACTACATTAAAGGGCGTACGGTCATCGACGTCACTAAATACCTGCTCCCGCCGCCAAAAAGGAAAAAAAGAAAAAAAATAACCGTCTTCTTACCCTGAAAAGCTGTGACACTTGGCTGCCACCAAATGGTCATAGGACGTACTGCCTGCATGAGGTAAATTGAGTGCAAATATGTTTATTATTCGCAGTGTCTCAGTTATAATTCGATTTGGACACAGCTTAATGCACATCAATTTGAGTTCACAGTTAAGAAACAACAGACGGAATTACTCCTTGATAGATGTGGGTGGCTCTTAAAAGAGCCGTTGATTTAGGACATTATGGAAGCAGATTACTTGGAGCTGGTATACTTGGTGACGGCCTTGGTGCCCTCAGACACGGCGTGCTTGGCCAGCTCACCGGGTAGCAGGAGACGCACTGCAGTCTGAATCTCCCTGGATGTAATGGTGGAGCGCTTGTTGTAGT